TAAAGTACCAGCGAGCACTGTTGTCTAATTTGTTTTTGGACGGGCGGATGGTTTTACACATCGGCTTGGTATGATTAGAGCCGGTCAGCGCCGGACGGTAGCAGTTTAACCTGTTGTGTGTCCTTTTGTTTTTGGTGCATATGTGACCTTTCTGCAGATTTGGCTTTAGTTAATGAGATCCGGAGCATTTTTGTTTGTTTGTTTTTTAATCATTATTATTTTTTTTAGGGATTTTGGTTTTGTTTCGTTTTGTTTATTGCCTGAAAAGTTTTCCGTCTCGGGAATAAAAAAAAATCTTCATTTAAATATTAAAAGATTGAGCTGCTCCTGGCTTTTTAAGCACTCGCTTTCCTTGCCGGGACGGTGCAGTGCTGGGATAGCAAAGCTGTTTACTGCAAGGCTGCATATCCTGCGACACAACAAGCCACGGGGAAGCAACGTGCCTTAAAAGTTGAAGGGAACTTGGTGGCGTTACCATACAACGTTGCGCAGAAGCATGGCAAAAAAAAAAACCCCCCAAAAAAAACAGCCCACCAGAACATGCGCCAAATAAAAGCCTTTTTTTTTTTTTTTTTTTTTTTTTTTAAGTGATTCTGCATTTCCCTCAGTTGCTGGGATGGCTTCGCAGTTCGCAGTCGTGGCTCTTTGCTCCCAGGCGGCAGAGGGGAATGGATTTCTGGTGACAGAATGGGGATCGGCTCTGCTGTGGGTCAGCTTTGGGGTGGTCTCACCTCTCCTGGAGGGATTGCTGGACATCTGCAGAGATGCTGGGAGCAAAAGCAGGAGCGGGGGGATCGCTGTCCTTGCATAGAAAGGTATTTGCCTCCGTATCTGCTTGGCTTTCTTACAGAAGGACAATTGTGGTGGAAATGGTGGTCTTGGAGTTGGGGTGCATAGGTGGGCGCCGGGACCGCGTCGCAAATTCCGTGTTTTGGTCCAAATATATGTTAGGGGTGAACATGAGCCTTTTGCAAGCAGGTTTGGAACTGAAGGAGAGCAGAATTAATGGAAGAGTCCTACAGAATATAGCAGGGTGTTCTCTGAGCAGATCTTTGTGTTGTCCTATAGCATTGCGTCATCCTATAGCATTGCGTTGTCCTATAGAATTCCGCTGTCCTATAGAATTCCATCATACTGTAGCACTCCATTCTCCTATAGAATTCCCATAGAATTCCATTATCCTATAGCATTGCGTTTTCCTATACAATCCCGTTATCCTATAGCATTCAGTTATCCTATAGAATTCCATTATCCTACAGCATTGCATTTTCCTGTACAATTCTGTTATCCTGTAGCATCGTGTTATCTTACAGAATTGCATTATCCTATAGAATTGAACACAGAGCACTTAAAAGTTTTTGTTTTTTTCCTTTTATCTCTTTGATTTTTACTCTTCCGAAGGAATTATGAAACATCAGTAGCACTTGTTTTTAATTTTGTGACCAAAAAAAAATCTGGGATTTTTATTTTTCCTTCGGGAAAGTGTGATATGCTGATTGAGCAGGATTTGTTCCAACCTTGAATAATGGGTTTATGAAGGGTTAATCAAAGACAAATAGCATTAGGAGCGTGTTACTGATGCACATCTTGTAGATAAAAACACCAAATTGATTAATGAGGACCGAGAGGTTGACAAACATCTGACAGAACTCAAGACAACCCCTATCAGATGAGCAGGAATTCGTTAGGATGCCTGTTAATTGTTTCACACAACAGTAAGTGTTTAATATAAACAAGCAAAGTACTGCCGACAACATTACAGCACACAGGGGAAAGCACTGCTGAGATGTGGGGCTGTTTTTGGGGTGAACTTCCCCAGTTTTGGTGTCCGTCCCCCTTTGCCTCCTTGCACTGCCTCCAATTAACTCTTTCGCATCTTCACGCTCGGCCCCAGGGTCAGCTCCATTTTGCTTCCCCACAACGCGGCATCACTGCTCGCATCGGGAGCTCCCGAAAACTTTCCTGCCTCCTTTCTTTCTTTCTTTCTTTCTTTTTTTTCTCCTTTTCCTTTTCTTTTTGTCCATTTGCTTTTCATTTCCCCATTCCGTTCTCACTACGGCCTTCCCCACCGGCAAAGCCACGGCGACAAAATGGCCGTCAGGCAGCCATTTTGTGGGAGCCAGCAGTGGCTGCGGGCAGCTCCGCGTTTCCCCTCTGCCTGCTCCTGCCGGGGCTCCATGGGGCTGAAAGGACTCTCAGAGGCTCAGCATTTCCCTCTGGGAAGTCCTGCCCGTGCCCGGCACATTTTGGCACCGAGCTCAGCGCTGCTGCTATACAAAGGCTGAAAGCTGCGCCTGCTTTGAACGGAGCGACCTTGTTGTTGCATGGTTTCCTCCCCCCCTCCTCCTCCATTTCATTCAGTTCTCCTTAATAAGCCAGATCAGCTCCTCAAAGCTGTTCCAGCTCTTTTCCGAAGCTCCGTAACACCACAATTTGAAAGGCAGAGGCTCTGCAGGGCCTCTTTGGCCTTCAGACCCACAGACAGTTGTGGGTCCACATTGAGGCATCTCCCGGGGTTCCAGTGTTGGCTGCAGTCACTTTTCCATCTCAAAATACAAGCAGGAAAGCCAGGGTGGAATGGACATTTTGCCTACATGAGGGATCTTGCTGGGAAGAAACCTAGCCGTCGTTCACCTGCCAATTCCTATCCCACCTTTGGCTCATTTTTATGTCCCCGTATGGATCTGGAATGGGAGAACAGCAGTGCTGCCCCCCAAAAATCTGTGCTCAGAAAATGGCGTTTTCCTGATCCGTAGAGTGTCTAAAAATCTTCCAAAATTTCAGGTTTTATGGGCTCAGAAGGCAGTGGATGGCTTTGGGGTATGGGCTCCTGACCCCTGCGGACCCTTCTGGCTGTTTTATGCCGATTTTTGCAGTGCAGTATTGCATTCAGGCACTTGTAAATGGAGTGGCTCAGTGGCAGTGTGCTGGAAGGGAAGGTTGGACGCCTGGAAACTGGGAAGCCATGGTGGTGGGAAGGTGCCTGGAGACAGGAGCAGGACCTGCTCAGGGTGCTCCACTGCCAGCTTTCCTATGGACCCATCTTGTGACCTTCGGCAGATTTGGTCACATCGCTGCTTCTTTCCTCATCTTTAGACCATAATCCATCGTGGAGAGGGGCCATCCGTACAGCACCAGCTGTGACAGTGGCGCAGGGGCCACGAGAGTCACACTGATCCTTACAGCATTTCTAAATTGTCCTATTTGACTGCTTTCTTCGTAGGTCCTGGCAGGACCAGGATTGCAGTGTCAGCAGCTCGGTATTCCTGAAACCTACACTCATTAAGACAATTATCGTAATTAAATCTCCTGTTTTCAGGATTACTTGTAGAAGTCAGAAGGGATTTTTTTTTTCTTCTCCTCCCCACGTATAATTAGATTGATGTAAATGAGGGGCTATGTAATGTAATTTCCCATCCACAGTTTGGTATTAACCCAAACTCCTATTCTCTGCAATGGTATCAAAAGTGAGCTTGTAAAGTCCTGCTCCTCTGGTTGGTGCCTGTGGCACCAGGTTAAGCTTTGGGAAGCTAAAACACTTTCAGATAGAAAACCTGGAGTCAGAAGGAACCCACAAGGATCACAGAGCCTAACTCCTAAACTTCTGACTAAATGAATCCCTCTGTTCCTGATGGTAACTGCTGCAAAGCTCTGGATGCTGTTGCATTAAGCATTAAGGAGGGAGGTTTAACCGCTGTGCATCGTTTGCTGAGCCAATAAAGCAGGGAGAATATTATTTCCCATCATAAGGCTGTTTGGGATTCAAAGCGCTTGGCACCATGGACGGGTCGGGTAATTTAATGCTACAGGAATCAGTCCTGCAATGCTGATTTTCTGACACTGTTTGTATGTTATCACACAGGGAGAGGCCTGGGCCAGATGGCCTGGCACAGTGGGTCACCCCAAGGCTGAGTTTGTCAAAGGAAATTAAAAGAATTAACTGGGTTGTGCTGACTGTTAGTTGAGAAGCATTTCTGGACAGCTTGGCGAAGGAATGTGGGCACTTTCCAAGCCTCGCTGCACAGATATCCTTTTTCCCATCTTAAACTCTCACCTTGGGGAACCCAGCTACAACAGCTGACCAGAGCTTTGGGTATCTCACTCATGCACTCTGCTGCCTGTTAGCTGTGGAAACGCAATTCGTTAGGCATCCTCTGTTCCTTTGGTGATGTATGCCTTAGCCCCTGCATCTCCCATCCAGCCGTGGGCAGATGGGACCCCTCCTGCTTCACAGCACTGAGTTCTTTTGGGAAGTCCTTTGGGTCTTTGCTGCGTTGCACATGCAGCCCCTTCATGTGCTGCTGGTGACTCCCTTTTCCTTAGATCCTCCTTTAATCTTGAAGGGAAAATCTTTCTCACTGCAAGAGAACCACACACATCTTCTAAACTGCCAGCATAATACCTTGCATCTGCAGTTAGGTGTACAGAGAATGAAAAAGGCTCAGAAGGTGAGCCAAGGGCTTGGGGGGAAGCCAGCCTGTCTCTGCTCCCCGCCAATAGTGCCTGGCTGTGCTGTAGCATTAAAGGACCTGCATGTTGCTCTCATTTGTTTGGGAAATGAGATCTGCCTTGATGTACTCAATACCATTACATGCACGGCCTAAAAGCTTCCTTGTACTCAGTTATTTCTAATCTGCTCAGTTCCCTGGAGTGCATAACAGCTAAATTGATAGATTATTTTATCTAGTCTGGCAGGTTTGTTCTAGATATGCTGTGTGTTCAAGAGGTGAGGTCAGCTTGCCTGCATATTATTTGGTGCTGCTGCAGCTTCGGGCAGGCTGTGCTTGCTGTGTGCATGGTCCTGGGCTCAATCTGCTGCTTCCATGAGCTCTTGGGTGCATAAAGTTTGCCACCAGAAAGATTTGCAAGGATATATTATAGTCCAAGTGGACTGAAGGAGCTATAAGGAGGAAAGGGAGCTCCACAACAAGGCTGAGTGTGAGACTTGCTTCTTTCAGCAGCACAAAGTCTGATGAATTCTTATGCATTTCTCTTCACAGGAACCACTGAGCAGTCAGTACCTGGATGAGGATCATCTCACTGCCCTGGATGGCAATGGTCCCAAGCTGTCCTTGAGGCTGAGGTAGTAGATTGAATAGTTGTGGAGTCTTATCCTCCCTTTGAGCTAACTATACAATCTACTGTCTTTCCTAAGGAGACAGTCAGATCTTCAGCTCGTCTGCTTCGACACAAAGCGTGGAGACAGGTGGTGCAAAGAATCCTGCTCCTCCACAAAGCAGGGAATCACAGCAGACCTCTGTACTGCTCTGTGGAGGTGAGGTAGTAGGTTGTATAGTTTGGTGGGAGGGATTCTATCCCATTTCAGGTGATAACTATACAGTCTATTGCCTTCCTTAAAGAGCAGCAATACCACCAGAGGAGATGCTCAGAGGTCCTGGAGCAAAAACAGCACATGGCACTATTGAACAACACAGTGGCTCTTCTCCTGCAGCATCCAGGATTGTGTCATTCCAGGGAATAACTACCAAATATCCACATAAAGAAAAATGTACCTCTCATTTTTAATGGCTGCAAGAGAAACAATGAAATGAGCTGTCTTAGCCAAGAACTCAAAGCCCCGTGAGCTGATCAGATTTTGGCTGGTTGGCCCCTGAAAGTCCATTCTGGTTTTGGACAAGTTCCCAGCTGTCCCATGGGACAGAGTTACAGGGTGGTTCTTTCTGATTTGGTAATCTCTATCAACCCAACTCACACGCAAACCCTGCTGGAGACATTTGGGCTCCTATGTATTTACGTAAAATAAGCCAACAATTCAGACCAGTGCCCCGTCCTCCTCAGGAAACAGGTGAGAAAGAGAGATGAGCCAAAGGCAGCAAGTCCTGATCCCTCTTGTTCCTGCCAGGTAGGTGGCACTGACATCTGACAGCAGATGCAGGAGATGACAGCCTGCTTCAGAGCTCTGGCACTTGACAAGGGACAGAGAATGGTTATTTCTTCCCTTGGTGAGAAGCAGATGGGACAACCCCTCCACCACATTCCAGAGTAAATAGAATCCAGATCACAGGAGGGACTGTAACTCGATGAGGGCTGCACCAGTTTCTCAAGACTGAAGGATGTCTCGGGACATTATCACCAGCATCTCACTGCCAGGGAAACGCGTGAGATCTGAGACACTGAGGAGCAAGGGCAAACCGAGGGCACCTTCTCAGATGAATCGGGAGGAAGAGAGCTGCAATAAGAAATTGGAGCCCTCAAATTTCACCCTGGAAGTGAAACACGGGGCGACTCAGAGCTGGCTGCTCGGGCTGTGGGACTGCCATCAGTGAAGCAGCTCATTTAAGGCTCCTCTGCTGCTTGGGATAGGGCGTAGCTTCAGCAAGGCTGGGATGGGACTTCCTCAGGCAGGGCAACAGCTGGAGGGTGGGGATGCTGGAGTATCTAGCAGCAGAGGAATGCAGCCCTCTGCTCCATACATCTGGCTTTCCAGGAGTCATGGGAACCTGTCACACAAAGCTACAGCTCGCTTCTCTTCTACACATTCTTACCCCCTATGTACCTCCTCAGGGGCAGGGCTTCTACCCCCAGCATTGCTCGGAAGGTACCAAAGCAGCAGCACGACTATGGGAACAGGGCAGCGCATCAGCTTCGTGTTTAAGGGGTGTCTCCTGGAAAAGGATTAATCCTGTGGGTCCCGAACGAAATCGGTTCACTCCCCATCCACTGCACTGATGTTAACGCAAAGAATTTTAAGCAGCAAAACAGTATGAGATGAAAACCATGAGTAAAATGCCACTAGAGATACTCTTCTGTGAAAATAAACTTGCTTTGATTATTGTATTATATATATATTTTAATAGTGTCTTTTACTGCCTTGAAGCAAGCATGGCTGATGAGCTGGGGCCAGGGTTGGCTGGTGCTCCTGACTGTGTGTCACCCAGCAAACCCTGCACGTGACCAAAGCCCTGAGCCCAAAGGGGAAACCAGGACATGACAAGGGGAGGTGGGGTTGGCTGAGCAGCCGAGGCTGTAGGTCCTGCTGTCAACAGGCACCGTCCTGGGCCCAGAATGGGAAATGTGACAGAACTCCACAGAGGCAGCAAGGCCCCGTCCAGCAGGGATCCTCCATGCCAGGGAAGGAGTGGCCACATGGAAACCTCCTCCTCTTTGGGTCCCCAGACTCTTGCAGCAGCTTCGCCAGGCTCCTTTCCTTCCAGGAATCTCCCACCAACTCACTTCAGTGGCTGAGCATCCTTCAGGCCGTCCCCAGAAACAGAGCTGGAAATGCTTCACAAGTTTCCCTTGGATGTTCCATGCCCTTCCCTGCTTACCAACCACACTCTCAATCCACGTTTGCCACGCAGCTGCCTTCCCTCCATCCCTAAATCCTCCTGATTTGGGACTAAACCAAACCACTCCAAATCCCCACCTTGGCAGCGCTCAGCCCCGCTGTCCCAGGGCACAGGGGGAAGAGGAAGGAGAATCTGCCTTCTAGTTTTGAATTTGCTGCTGCAAGGAACTCTACAAATAGTGCTCGCACCATTCTGTGACTGCAAGTGTCAAAGCTTTTGGGAAAAGAAAACTCAACCATAAAATAAAGATGAAATACTTAAAAAAAAACCACCTCTGGAATGCTTTGCATGGGCTCATGCAAACTCTGTTACTGCTGCTCTGAGCCCCACGGTGGTTATTGAGGTAGGAGAGGGGGAAGCACCCAACACTGCAAAACAAATCCGATGCTGACCAAGTGCTCTCATTTCACTGGGAGGAGAAACACTTTTCTGCTCTTTTAATCATTGGTAGGGGATTAATGATACGCTCTCCTTCACCCGGGTGGGCAAACAGTTGCAGCCCTGAAGTGCCATCCCAGCTCTGTCCCTGCTTTACCCCTGGTAGGGCTGCAGGCCCTTGCAACAGGTGAACAACAGCCGCTCTGGCTGGACTTCTGTCACTTGTCAGCAGCTCCATGCTGGGTGCTTTTCCCCTTGCAGCTTGCAGGAGCTCAGCCATGCAACAACCCTTAGGAGAAATTATTTTAAAATCTGATTCTTAACTACACCTGATGCTTGTGATTAAATAGAGCGCTGTACAGTGAGGTCAGTGCTGCTCACTGCTCCGCAGTGACTGTCCCACTGCCATCTGCTGGTCACCATTCAGCAGGGTTAGCAGTGACCGTGACCTAAAAACACCCCACGGGCAGCTGCTTCCTATCAGGGAGCCGTGCTGCTGTGCTCCTGCAGCAGAACCACAGGGAGAGGGGAAGCACAGAGCAGCCTCAAAGCAACAAGCAAAGGTCCAACGTCAGCATCATTCCCATGCTGTGGGTTCACCCCTTGCAGTGCGGGTGCTGTGATGTTCAGTGGGGAAGGGACAGGGGAGGACATTGCATTTAGCTTCTTTCATTGCCACGCAGATGAAGACGTGCTGGGGTGGGAGGAGGCTGCTCGGCCTCGTAGCAGGGAACCAGAAGCACTCCAGCATTAATTTCATCTTGGTTTCTTTTTGCTCTGAGCTCCCTTCATCTTGCTTTCCTTGCCCACAAATTCCTGCTGGAGACACATTTTTGCTCAGCACTCAGCTGATGCAATATTCCCTACAAATAATAGGGAATAGGGATTCTCTATTCCCTATCGTGCTGAACGTCCTCCTCCTCCTGCTTTTAATTGGGCTAAAAACATAAATCACATAATCATGGTTTAGGTTGGAGGGGACCTTAAAGATCATTGAGTTCCAGAAGATCAAAAAGCTGCAATCCTGCAGAACCCAGCACCCATTGCTGTCGAGAAGCCAAAAAACAATAACAACATTGAGCACTTGGAAGGAGCCAGGGTGATTTGCAGCAATTCTACTTAAATGCACAACCAGGATTGTTTTTCAGATACAAGCCGACTTCTGGAGATCCCCAAAAGAAACCATGTGCCCCACAGCAGGCTTTCAGAACAGGATTTATTCAGTGCATGCTCTGGAGATGCACAGCACACAGCATCAGGAGGAGGACTCAGACATTGGACTTATCTCCACCTCATCTATGTAATAAACCAAAGAATGCAGCAACCAGAGAAGAACTGGATCTCCTCGTCCCTTCTGCTGGGCTGCAAAACTTGCCCCACATTTAACACCCCCCGCTGGGAATCTTCAGGTGAACAGAGCAGAAACATGGAGGAATACAACACACAGTGCTCCAGAGAATGAAAGCCATCCTGCAACAAGTCCTGGAAGCACCGGTACCCTCTAACGTCATTCACTTGGCTCTCTCAAGCTGAAACTGCACCAGCAGACCTGATTATTTTTCCTCCTGGACCCACATATATACATCAACCAGGATCTGGATCTAACTGCAAATACGTCGTACACTTAAGATCTGCAAAGAGGGAAGCCGTGCAGAAGAAAGGAGCAGTAACTCCTCTCCTGTGCTGGAGGTTTTTCTTCTGTGCAGGCACACACGTGCAGGCACACGCGTACAATAAGGGCATGACAACGGAGTAACTGTTGGAGCAGAAGTGAGGAAGGGGGTAAAGACTGCAAAGGGATGGCAGGAGAAGGAGCACGTCTAGACACTGGCCATAGCTCTACCCAGAAGTAGGAAACACAAACCTCTTCTGTGGACAAAAATGCCATTTTTGGACAAGGAAGGAAGAGGTGACACTTCTCCAAAATTGAGACAAACAGACACACGAGGAGAGAAAGAGAGCATTTCTGGTAGAAATCCATCCTGATACACAGACATCAGACGCAACGATCGTGTCTTGCCTCCAAACAAATACCAAAGCCAACCTCCATGTCCCATTGCCATTTGGGTTTCCAGGGCATTCTGGTTTCCCTGGGACGTGGTGCAGCAGGACCTGCCGGCCACACAGGGCAACGAGAGCTTATCGTCTCCTATTGGAAACAGAGCAGAAGCCCAGGCTGGCTGGGAAGAAGGGAGAAGTATTGGTACCCAAGTTCACTAGCATGATGGCAGACACCCTTCTGCCCCTGGGCTGTCTCAGGAAGGGCACTGAGTGCCCATGTGATGGCCAGTAGCCCTTGGCACAGCAGGGCTGGAGCGGGTGAGCCAGAGGAAGAAGAGAGTGTGTCAACCTGAACTGCCCGTGGTGTCTCCCAAGCCTACCAGGGTGGTGGGACAACCATGCTGAAGAAAGCCTTGGCGACGGGTGCAGGGACAGCTGAGAAAGTCTGTTCAAAGCAGAAGGCCCACCAGGATGACACAGGGCAGGAGGAAGAGCAAAAGGCCCTTGTGGGTGCTGGGAGCTCCAGCTGTGGGCTGCTGCTTGCCTTCATGGTCTGAGTTTGTCTCCAGCTCTTCAGCATTCGAGGCATCTGCTGGCAGAAAAGAAAAAAACAGCACAGAGTTAAAGGGGAAGATGTGAGCAAAAGAGAAACTCCCATTCATGCAGGGATCTGTCAGGGATGTGCACGACGACACCACGAGGTGCAAGGCAGCAGCACACAGATCCAACGGAGACACGGCACAGCCGGTGGGTGTTAGTGAGGAGCAGGCTGTAAACAAATCCATGCTTCACAAACCAGGCATCCAAACAGACCCTTTAAGCGTTAGGGGAAAGAGTGAGGAAAAGGGTTGTTGCCACATCAAAGACGAGGATCCAAAGGACCAGTCTGATACTGGCTCCTCCCAAGTGTGCTCCATGCTTGGGGATCACTCAACGTCTGCATGTCCATGCCAGGTCAGACTCCACAATTACCTTACCTGAGAAGGAGGTCTGGAAAGCAGGGCTCTGCCCCTTTTCTTTGGAAGATGACGTTAAACGCATGAAGATGGGTTCTTCAGGGCTGGAGACCACTGACTTTGAGGAGGTTATGAGCTCAGCTTTATTGAAACCTAACTTGATCTCTGGAATAATCTGGCTGGGGGATGGAGTTGGACTGGAAAAGAAGGCTGATTTCTCTCTCTCATCCTCTTTCACACCGTTATTTGTTTCTGGGACTGATTTGGGACTGATGGCTGTGCCCATACTTTCTAATAAGTCTGGATTTTCTGTAGCTAAGGAGGCAACAGGCTCTTCAGTATCTAACTCTGCTTCTGGAGATGCTCTATAATCCGAGTCTAAAGTGGGCTCAAAGGAAAGTGTTAACCCAGTTGTTGCAATATAATCGGGACTTTCAGTTTTGGCGTGTTCTGTCTTTGTTGTGGTGGTGGATTCTGGCTTTGCTGATGTTATAGCAGTGGATGTTGGCTTGGCTGTAGTGGTGGTAAATGTTGGTGTGGTGGATGTTGGCTTGGCTGTAACAGGTTTTGGCTTTACTGTAGTGGTGGCTGTGAGCTTTGGCATAGTGGGTGTTGGCTTGGTTGTAGAGGTGGTGATGGGTTTTGGCATGGCTGTAGTGGTGGTGGTGGGTTTTGGCATGGTTGGTGTTGGTTTGGTTGTAGTGGTGGTTGGTTTTGGCGTGGTTGGTGTTGGCTTGGTTGTAGTGGTGGTTGGTTTTGGCGTGGTTGGTGTTGGCTTGGTTGTAGTGGTGGTTGGTTTTGGCGTGGTTGGTGTTGGCTTGGCTGTAGTGGTGGTGGTTGGTTTTGGCGTGGTGATTGCAGGCGTTGTTGTGGTGGGTGCTGGCTTGATTGTAGTGGTTGTTGTGGGTTCTGGCACAGTGGTGGTGGGTTCTGGTGTGGTGGGTGCTGGCTTGGCTGCAGTGGTGGTTGTAGGTTTTGGCATAGTAGGTGCTGACTTGGTTGTAGTGGTTGTTGTGGGTTTTGGTGTAGTGGATGCTGGCTTGGCCATAGTGGTGGTTGTGGTGGTGGTTGTTGTGGGTTCTGGTGTGGTGGTTGTTGGT